CCACCATAAGAGCAAGGCTTCTCACTTCAAAACCGCACTCCCAGATAAGGACACAAGGAAGCTTGACTTCTTTGGACGCAAGATTTATTCGTCTTCGACCCTAATGCTTAGGATCACAAATTATGCTACCCTTCTCTCGAATCACAATTTCAACAATTATGCCAAGTTACCTGACCTAATGCAACAGCTTCCAGATACTAAGAAACCTCTGCTGAAGGTGATTGTCCAGGAGGGATATTCTGCATGTAGGACATTGCTCCAAATTGCCCTCGATGTCGCGGATACGGCATCTCGAGCCATGGCAACATGTATCACCATGCGCAGAGCCTCTTGGCTAATATCAGCAGGAGCACCAAAGGAGCTCCAGAGCAAAGTCGAAGATCTCCCATTTGATCTTAAGAGATTATTTGCTACTTCAACTGACGACGTCCTGCATACGGGTAAGGACTCACGCACCACTCTGCAAACTCTGGGGATGTATACACCCCCCTTTAAGTGTAGGCGCTACTATCCATTTCAAAGGAGATATGACTATCCATTTCAGAAACATCGGGAGCACACTCCCGAACAGTCTCAATTCCGACAGCGTTTGTAACGCAAGCGCCAGCCCGGGCTAATGCCAAACAGCAAATTTGACTCGTGTCGAGGACACAAACACATCTTCAGTGCTCATAGTAGAAAAACCCACCACCACTCTTCTCTTTCACGACCGCCTCAAGCTATATTATCACCAGTGGCACGACATCACCTCGGACCGCTGGGTCTTGGAAGTAATAAAGTCAGGTTTCACGATACCTTTCATCTCCATACCTCCCACTACTCCACCCACCCCGTCCCTCTTCAGGGACCCATCACACGAGACTCAGCTCCAGCAAGAGGTACGTCATCTTCTTGCTATAGGAGCCATAGAACTAGTTCCCTCAAGATTCAGGAACAGAGGGTTTTACTCCCAGTATTTCCTCGTCCCCAAAAAATCCGGAGGGTGAAGACCTATTCTCAATCTGAGGCGTTTAAACTGATACATCAAGAAGCAGCATTTCAAAATGGTCACGTTAAACAAAATTATACCATCACTGAGCAAGGAAGATTGGTTCGGGGTCCTCGATTTACAGGACGCGTATTTTCACCTCACCATTCACATAGCACACAGGCACTTCCTCCGTTTTGTAGTGGGGCAGGAACACTACCAATACAGAGTGCTGCCCTTTGGCCTCGTCTCAGCTCCCAGAGCTTTCTCCAAAACACTTGAAGTAGTTGCTGTGCATCTTCGCAAGGTAGGGGTTTCCATTTTCCCCTACCTAGACGACTGCTTGCTCAAAGGCCACACTCGCTCGGAAGCTTGCCACATGCTCACAGTAACGAGGAGTCTCTTCAGTTCCCTCAGTTTAATTATAAACATGGAGAAATCACGTCTAGAGCCAGCCCCGACTCCCATGTTTATAGGAGCTCGCCTCGACTCACGGTCAGCTCGGGTCTACTTACCTGCAGACTGTTTCCAAATCATATGCGATCTAGTTCACACAGTATCGCTCTCCCCAACACTTCCCGTACGTACTCACCTTCAGCTGTTGGGTCATATGGCAGCCACCACGATGGTGGTCCGCCACGCAACATTACATTTC